ACAGTATGTAAGGGGATCCACTGCAGACAATCTTCACTGGTACAGGTGGGAACATAACACAAACAGTATGTAAGGTGCTCCACTGCAGACAATCTTCACTGGTACAAGTGGGAAAATAATACAAACAGTATGTAAGGGGATCCACTGCAGACAATCTTCACTGGTACAAGTGGGAAAATAACACAAACAGTATGTAAGGGGATCCACTGCAGACAATCTTCATTGGGGAGGTGGCACTTAATTATTTACTGATTGGTTGGGTGATCATGCTCCTTCACATCTTGTGATTTCTTACACTTGTTCTTACCTTTTCTTTGCCACTACATTAAGCTGTTGAGAATCTTTTTTTCCCCAACATCTTTATCTTCTTACAGTCCATTCCATGTGGCATTGGTAATAATGTCTATCCGAAACCTTCTGTCTCATATACTTTCAATCAATTCTGACCCAGATGAACTTCGATGCCATGATGTCAAACTGTCCTGCATCTTCTCTCTGTGCCTCTTTTACCCTCAAACTTTTCTACTGTCACAGTGTAGATCACTGTTCTCCTTCTCATCACATGACCAACGAATGTATTCTTCTCATGTGAGCAATCAGTTCTCTTCATGAGTCAGTTTCAAGACATTTTCAATACTTTTTTTGTTAACTGCCCAGGGTATTCTTATCAATAGTCTATAAAACCACATCTCTGCCCTTTCCAAACAATTTTTTCACTACACATCCAACTGTCCCTGATTCACTTCCATATATTTGGATAGGATTTATCTATCAGCCAGTCTGTTTTTCCAGTTGTCATATGTTCCAGATTTTCTCTTCTCTTGTAGCAAAAAACAAAAACTGAGAATATCTTTTTTTGATGTTTTTGATATGTTGTCTTTGTGTCTTAACTCCTTTCAAAATATTTAGATAACAAATTTTTGCTGCCACAGGATTTTCAGCATCCTTCTCAACTAAAGATTTTTTTGTTGAAAGAATTATCAAAAAGATTATATCTCCTGAAAGAAAGTAATAATTGAAATTTCAATTTTTCCGTATCACGGCTTCCAAAGCTTATTTTAAATCTGTTGAAAATAAGCTTAAAACACGATGAAGATAGCATGCTGCTTTTTCTTGGATACATTTTTAGAAAAGGTGGACAAGGAAAAAAAAAAAAAAAACACTTCAGATGTTACTGGATCACTCACTGAGGGTAAAGTAAACGAGGCTTTCTATGCCGGAAACGCAATGGACAAGGATGCTAAGACGCATATTTTTGAGCTGGATTATCTTCACAGCACTCCGGAGACATGTATAGGTGCTCAGATTCCCTCTTCAACATGTACATCAGCGCTCTGCGGTTAGAGCCAGTCCTATGCTGATTAACAAGATTTCTGGTATGTCTGGTCTGCTTTTCATGGGGGCTGCCTGGTCTCGAGGTATGGTGTCCACCTGGAGTGCTAGAGGTTCCGGGTTCAATCCCCGGTAAGGGCTGGGATTTCACATGGACTTGAGTGAGATCGGACGCCCGTGTACATTGTTTTGGATGTAAAAAATCTCTTGGCAGTTGGAAATCGAAAAGAGTAGCCTAATGGCGCTGTCCGGGCAAGATTTTAAGTTAAAAATCTACCTAAAGTATTTAAGAATCCTCGCCCGTGCACTATGCTGAGCTTCTTCAGACTCAGACTTGAGTTAGAAGAAGAACTTGGACTTGAAAGAGTTAGGAAACCACAAAAGTAGTTAAGGGGCTCCCCAAAGAAACCGATTCCTAAAACAACTAAAAAAAACAGTGTTTTAGCCTCGTTAATAGGGAAAGGAAACAATACAAATAAAATTTATGTTGCGTGTCAGGAGAATCACCTTCAGTCCAACTTACTTGTCTGAAAGGAAGAGCTGGAAAAGAGTGGGATGACCATCAGTATCTCCAAAACTAAAACCATGGTGATCTCAAGAGAGGAGAAGAAACACCAGATTATGATGGGACAGTATGCATTGGAGCAGGTTAACCAGTTCAAATACCTTGGAGTTGTATTAGACTGAAACGGAGGCATTAAGACTGAGCTGGCTACATGAAAAGCAGCTGCTGGGAGACTTTTCCAGGCTATAAACCGAGGGTTTCTTAGCAAAAGAGAAATTGGCAAGACGACGAAAATGGCTGTTTACCGCTCTACCTTAGTTAGTTAGTTAGTTAGTTAGTTGGGTTATCATCATTGCACTCCGGACATGTCCATAGGTGCTCAGATCCTCCCCTCAGTATGAATCCCAACGTCCGATGGCTAATAGTACCAGTTCTATGTTGATTAACAAGTCTTCTGACGTGTCCGGTGTGCGTCTCGTTTTTTGCTGTGCCGATCTTAATTCCCAAGTCTGCTATTCTGGCGAGTGATGTGGATTCACTGCCACAAAAGTCCTCTATCCTTCCCATTTCTCTGAGGGCATTGATAATATCAGCATGATCCATAGGCCGACCGTCGGTAGTGATAGCGGATCCAGCCAACCTGTCAGCTCTTTCATTTCCATCGACGCCTGCGTATCCCGGAACAAAAATAAAGGTGACTCCTCGCACAGTGGACTTCTGAATTGATTCAAGCCATTGTCTTCGCACTGAACCTGCCTGAACCCTCCTGATCATACTCATTACCGCTCTACCTATGTACCAGTAATGACCTATGGATGTGAGTCATGGGCAATGACAACAGCTTACAGAAGCCAGCTGCAGGCCTCGGAAATGAGATATCTGAGAAAGGTGGTCCAAGTGACAAAAAGGGACAAAGTCCGCAATCAGACAATACGTCAAGATCTTGATACCCAGTCCTTACAAATCCGAGTGAATCAGTCAGTTACATGACACTTTTCTTTACATCGACATAAATACATAACACTCCTAAATATCTACATAAATACACAACATTCCTCCTATACATCTACATAAATACACAACATTCCTCCTATACATCTACATAAATACATGACACTCCTTCTATATATCTACAAAAATACATCACACTCCTTCTATATATCTACACAAATACATCACACTCCTAAACATCTACATAAATATATGACACTCCTTTCATTCATCTATATTGTTGTTGTTATCGATCCAGCGGCGCATGAGCTTTCGCCCTTTGGCCCAATGCCATGTAGTGGAATTTGTATGTTTTCACAAGCTGTTCTTTTCCTCCGTACAAGGTGTTCCACTTGTCTGGTCTCGGAGGGAGTAGAGTTCGTCTTGTCTCACTGAGTTTTGGGCACTCAAAGAGATGGTGTTCAACAGTTTTGTAGGGGTAGTTACATAGCTGGCACTCTGGGGAGTGTTGTGGCTGTATTCTGTTTAGGTGTCCATTGAGTGGAGTATGTTGCGTTCTAAGTCTGAAGATGGTGGCCTGGTCCCTTCTTGTTAGCATACATCTTTATAAATAGATGACATTCCTAAACATCTACATAAATACATAACATTCCTCTTATACATCAGCATAAACACATGACACTCCTCCACACATCTACATAAATATATGACACTCCTCCACACATCTACATAAATACATGACACTCCTTCCATATATTTACACATTAACATCACACTCCTAAACATCTACAGAAATACATGACACTCCTTTCACACATCTACATAAATACATGACACTCCTTTCATACATCTACATAAATAGATGACACTCTTAACATCTACATAAATACATAACATTCCTCTTATACATCAGCATAAACACATGACACTCCTTCACACATCTACATAAATACATGACACATCTCCACAACATCTACATAAACACATGACACTCCTTTCACACATCTACATAAATACATGACACTCCTTTCATACATCTACATAAATAGATGACACTCTTAACATCTACATAAATACATAACATTCCTCTTATACATCAGCATAAACACATGACACTCCTTCACACATCTACATAAATACATGACACTTCTCCACAACATCTACATAAACACATGACACTCCTTTCACACATCTACATAAATACATGACACTCCTTTCATACATCTACATAAATAGATGACACTCTTAACATCTACATAAATACATAACATTCCTCTTATACATCAGCATAAACACATGACACTCCTTCACACATCTACATAAATACATGACACATCTCCACAACATCTACATAAACACATGACACTCCTTTCACACATCTACATAAATACATGACACTCCTTTCATACATCTACATAAATAGATGACACTCTTAACATCTACATAAATACATAACATTCCTCTTATACATCAGCATAAACACATGACACTCCTCCACACATCTACATAAATACATGACACTCCTTCACACATCTACATAAATACATGACACTTCTCCACAACATCTACATAAATACAATCCAAAACTGTCAGTTTAACCCTGACACTGCTTTTTACACAAATTTCACACACACGCAAATGGTGTGCCACCACAATGATTGGCTGTTGTACATGTGCATCCACTGCTGTTTTTAGAAACACTATGTTGTGAACATTAATTTCCACAGTTTAACTCTCATACCACTATCCTAGTGTGGGTTCCTGCGCTCCATTCTGGAGACCAAAGAACAGACCCACTTCCTCCTTAACATGCACATCACAGGAGGGACTAACTAAGGGTGTTTTCTTCAAAGTCAGAGTGCATCTGCCTGAGAGGTAAGGCATCAACGGTCTGCAAAAAAAAAAAAAAAAAAAAAAAACCAGATCTATAAAACGGATGTGCACACAAAACTCAAGTTCTGGATCAAGATCAAAGTTCAGGAAAGAAAGAACAAAAACTTATTGCTGGAGTTTACAGCCAGTGAACAATAAGAAGATGATGAAGAAGAAGCAGCAGCAGATACCACTGTTTGAAAGCCAAGAAAGAGGGCTACACCCAAACTGCCTTCTGCAGAAATCAAACTCTGGAACATTAAAGACTGTGAAACACGTTCTCTAACTTCTAAATTGCTGAGTCAAATAACAAATGTAGCTGTCTAATTTTTTCCTACCTTTAAATGACACAGTACTTCTCCAGATAGTACCTGGCATACTCTGGGTTGTTGGATCTGATGTACATCTGAGCCAGACTGTAGGCAATCTCTCGGCTGAGATCAAAGGTGCCCTGTCACAATTAACACAAAAATTATAACACAGCTTGACTCCTCTAAATCAGGGCTATTCATCAAAGTCTACTCAGAGGCCAAAATGTTAAAAATGTCAAAGGCCAGAGTCTGAGACCTAGCAGATAAAGATTGTTTTTACAACAATAGTGGCAATGATCTCTGGGCCACTTGCTAGGACTCCTTTGGCTGAATTCTGTCTGCAGGCCGCCAAGTGAAAAGCCATGCTCTAGACAAATACACCGCAGTATGTGACACTGCTACTGTGTCTTCTTGCTCACTTCCAATCTTCCTTATTTTCATCACCACTGTCAGGGGTCCTCTGTGGCTATGAGATGACTGTGTATGAATAGTGGACTAGTACTTAGGGTAATGCCTGAAACAATTGGATGGCCAGTGTGTGAGTGGTGATTGTAAAGCCCTCTAGCTGGTTGCAGCAGGGTTGCGAGCCACATCTGGGGTAAACTTTCAAATGTTTGTTTTTCATTATATTAAAAACTGACGTGTATTTTTTTCTGACAGTGTTGGCTTAGTTGTGTTTGAGGATAGATATTTCGGTCACGGAGCTGCCAAAGAGCTATTTACCTTGACAGCAGTAAGCAGGTGTCTGACAGAAAGTGGTCTTATTTGTCTTAACGAGAGTAAGCAGGTGTCTGACAGAAAGTGGCCTTATTTGTCTTAACAAGAGTAAGCAGGTCTGTGACAGAAAATTTCTTATTTGTCTTGACGAGAGTAAGCATGTCTCTGACAGAAAGTGGTCTTATTTGTCTGAACGAGAGTAAGCAGGTGTCTCACAATCACTCATCATCCTTTTCATTCTGGATCTTCAGGAGCAAAAACAAAATCTTGTGTGTGTACGTTTTTAGCTGGTTTGGGTTTTCAGCAGTCAGCGAATCTTTGGACCTATCAAAGATGCAAACGGTGAAGACTGGAGAGTGACAAGCAACAACACAATTTCTAATCTGTTTAAATCACCATTGATCCCTGCCATCATGACGGCTAATAGATTGCAATGGCTGGGGCAACCTGAGAGAATAGCAGTTAACAGAGAGATAGAAACTGTGTACACAAAATAGTGGAATTGAAGTAGAGCACAAGGCAGACCAAAAAGACAGGAGTGATGTTATAAAGTCAGACCTATAAACATCTGCAGTTATCAAGTGCAAACAGAAGGTCAATAACAGAGGTAAATTCAGGTGGGTGATATCTGCAGCAGTGAACCTTAATGGTTCAGAACGCAGAAGAGACAGTTTGCTCCCCATAAGAAGCCCCTGAATCTGCCTCTATAAGCTGCCTTTAATAGTTGTTTCAACTTACTATCACAGACTAGCAGGTATGAATGCTAACTACTGTGCTAAAACAGTTCCCACTACGAAATGTGCGGGACGGGAAAAATGCAGAGAAGGTTGCAAGAGGAAGACAACATTATTTATGGGTAGTCAAAATAAGGAGATGATTTTTAAAAAAAAAAGTTATGCATTTTTTTCCCTCCAAAGGTTTAATTCATTATCAATGTTTCACACTGACATGCGACAGGCCAACAAACCTGCTAGTACTTACTTCTGCATCTGAAACCACTGGTGGGAACTCCAACGCCTTTCTGTAGTAATGTGCCGCTGCATACTGAATTTCTGTTGCAACATTAAGAAGGTAGGACATTAAAATATAATATGAATAAAAATCAAACAGACTAATTTTTTGCTGTTGTTGTCTGGGTAGCATAATAATGTTCAATGGAAAATGAGGCATACAGATGGAAAAATTAATCACCATATCAAAAGATATAATAACATTTATGTTGTATTTCTTTTGTAAAAATAAAAAAATTGGGACATACAAATTCTAAATCAAACAAATCAAATTTTGTTCAACGTCTAGGCTTATCTGGTACCTATGGGCAGGTCTATTTAACTATTGACCTACGGGCTGAATCTCGCTTCCCGCCCCTAACTGCCTTAACTCTTTCAATATGAAGTGATTCACCATACGTTCACGGGCTACTATTTATGGGATACACATTTCATTTCTGTTCCTATCCCATTCCTCTACTGGCAGACGCTTGAGCACGTATTTTCCGCGTGTAGGAAAGCCATAGGTCAGTGGCGTTATACATGGCGCCACAATAAGGTCTTGAAAGAGCTGGCTGACATTGTGGACAAAGCAGGTTGGCTTGTTATTTGCTATCCCAGGGATAAAATATCACCATAATCTCAGTACTTGTTGCAATTACCACAACGTCTGCACAGCAGCAGATGCCTGAGGCCCCAAAGTCAATTCCGCCCCTTCCCCCCCTTTCCAGGAAATTGTCTAGGAGGTAAAAGGGCCAAAACAATTGTTACAAGGGGACATATATTGAGGATCAGTACGATCTTGTTATGCATGCTCCCACTGTGGAGTTCTACTATCTATCTATCTATCTATCTATCTATCTATCTATCTATCTATCTATCTATCTATCTATCTATCTATCTATCTATCTATCTATCTATCTATCTATCTATCTATCTATCTATCTATCTATCTATCTATCTATCTATCTATCTTTCTATCTATCTTCTTTTACCCCACCAGGACATCACACAAGCAATAAACACCCGATGACACAAAGTGCCATCATGTGGATGAGGATCACCTGTGGAGAGGTCCCAGAAACTGCGTTCAGCCATTAGACCATACTTATGGCCGGGGCTATATTTCGGCCCCTGGCAAGAGCCAGAGTAGGGCTTCAAATAATGAAAAATGGCATCCCACAAAGGAATGACTAGATTAAAGTTCTACTTCTTTTAACGACTTATTATTCAATTGTTCTTACCTTACTGTAAATATAATATATCCCAAAAATGTATTTTTCAACTCTATGAGAACAACAAATTTTTTTCTATTAGCTACAAAAATATAAATATATATACATTTTTGATTTCATAACAACTTGGGACTAAAAAGAGATTAAATATTATCACTTCTTCTTCTTCTTAGCGTTCACCAGCTGTAAACTCCGGCAGAAAGTTCTGGTTGTTCATCCACTTCTGTACTGTAGTCCTGTTTTAGAACCTGAGTGTTGCGTGTGCATCCGTTTTACAGATCTGACCCATTTGTATGCAGACTGCTGGTTCCTTGCTTCTCAGGCAGATGCACTCTGACTTTAAAGGAAGCTCCCAATTAGTCGACTCTTACGGCATGCTTTTGGGTAGGCAGTAGGTCTATTCTTGTTTTTCCTATAAGAGGGCCCCGGAACCCACACAGGGTAGTATTATCACTAAAACTTACCTAACTGATTGAGTGCCCGACCCAGGTTGTAGTATGTCTCCTGACACTCCCCTCGCATCTCTCTGTAAGCATTCAGCAGGCAGACAGCCTACACAAATAGAATGTAAATTCCATAAAGCGAGTGAACAAGGAAAGCTGAAAATGTTGGGCGAAAAAATACTTTCAAAAATATCGACACAGGCTAACACGCCTGTCTGCCAAAAATGTACAAAACGTAAAGGAATAAATCTTTAAACAATTTATTAGTTACCTGTGTAAAATGTGTTTTCTTTTTCTTTTTTAAAGGATTGTTAAAAAAAAAATTATCATGGCTTAATGACCAATTTATTTTTTAGCATTCATGGGTATTTACTCACAAACCATGTAAACTACAACACAGACTGTAAGAGTTTGTGCTGCAGTTTACATGATCTGTGAGTTAGTACCCAGAGATTCTCTTACATTCTGTGTTGTAGTTTAAATGATTTGTGAGTTAATACCCAGTGATTCTCTTACACTCTATGTTGTAGTTTACATGGTTTGTGAGTAAATACCCAGTGATTCTCTTACATTCTGTGTTGTAGTTTACATGATCTGTAAGTAAATACCCAGTGATTCTCTTACATTCTGTGTTGTAGTTTACATGGTTTGTGAGTAAATACCCAGTGATTCTCTTACATTCTGTGCTGTAGTTTACATGGTTTGTGAGTAAATACCCAGAGATTCTCTTATACTCTGTGTTGTAGTTTACATGGTTTGTGAGTAAATATCTAGTGATTCTCTTACGTTCTGTGCTGTAGTTTACATGGTTTGTGAGTAAATACCCAGTGATTCTCTTACATTCTGTGCTGTAGTTTACATGGTTTGTGAGTAAATATCAAGTGATTCTCTTACATTCTGTGCTGTAGTTTACGTGGTTTGTGAGTAAATACCCAGTGATTCTCTTACATTCTGTGCTGTAGTTTACATGGTTTGTGAGTAAATACCCAAAGATTCTCTTATACTCTGTGTTGTAGTTTACATGGTTTGTGAGTAAATATCTAGTGATTCTCTTACATTCTGTGCTGTAGTTTACATGGTTTGTGAGTAAATACCCAGTGATTCTCTTACATTCTGTGTTGTAGTTTACATGGTTTGTAAGTAAATACCCAGTGATTCTCTTATACTCTGTGTTGTAGTTTACATGGTTTGTGAGTAAATATCTAGTGATTCTCTTACATTCTGTGCTGTAGTTTACATGGTTTGTGAGTAAATACTCAGTGATTCTCTTACATTCTGTGTTGTAGTTTACATGGTTTGTGAGTAAATATCTAGTGATTCTCTTAAATTCTGTGCTGTAGTTTACATGGTTTGCGAGTAAATACCCAGTGATTCTCTTACATTCTGTGTTGTAGTTTACATGGTTTGTGAGTAAATACTCAGTGATTCTCTTACATTCTGTGTTGTAGTTTACATGGTCTGTGAGTAAATACCCAGTGATTCTCTTATACTCTGTGTTGTAGTTTACATGGTCTGTGAGTAAATACTCAGTGATTCTCTTACATTCTGTGTTGTAGTTTACATGGTCTGTGAGTAAATACTAGTGATTCTCTTACAATCTGTGTTGTAGTTTACATGGTTTGTGAGTAAATACCCAGTGATTTTCTTACATTCTGTGTTGTAGTTTACATGGTCTGTGAGTAAATACGCAGTGATTCTCTTACATTCTGTGTTGTAGTTTACATGGTCTGTGAGTAACTACCTAGTGATTCTCTTATATTTTGTGTTTCATTGTTAGCCTCAAACAGGGTGACCTCCAACCCTACAAAGGTCAGGATACTTGTAGTGGTGGTCCGAAGAAATACCGTCTAACCTGTACCTGATGATCACATTGTGAACCACAATCTTGCCACAGCGAATTCAAACATTGTGAACCACAATCTTGCCACAGCGAATTCAAGCATTGTGAACCACAATCTTGCCACAGCAAATTCAACATCGTGAACCACCATCTTGCCACAGCAAATTCAAACAGAAATATCTAATTCTGTGTATCCTTCTGTAATATTGCAATTTCCACTCTTTGAATGTTAAAAAGTGTTTTGCAAATTACCTTGTGAATATAACATCCAGAGATAATACTGTTAAAACAATCAGAGTCCTAAAAAGACAAAACTGAGTTTTCAGTTTCTAATGTAAACACAATGAACTAGACTGCAAGGATTGCATTTAGTTGCCCTAAATTATCAGTTGATTGAAATACTCTATAACAGTATGGAAATATTAATTTACTAGGTGGTCTTAAACTTTTCGCCAACACTATTGAAATGATTCTAAACGTAGACTTGCAATGAATCGTGGTCTACGTGGTCTTCTTGTTTATCAAACATTTAGTTGACTTTTCCCAAAATTTCTGACTTGTTGCTCTGTGGAATTGATCATCTATTAGTATTTCACAGTCTGCCTGTTTCATACTTTGCGTTTCCAATCCATTTTTTCCTTGATTGTGACTCTTGGCTGAATCAGATTTAGATTTCAGATTTAGATTTCATTTCTGGAAAAGTTGGTGGTTGCTGATTAATTTCCATTGTTTCTGAGTTTGACTTTTTCTCTGTTTCAGTGGCTGCTGTCTTTTTCGTTTCAACTTTCTTGCTTGTATTACTACTCTTGCTGAATTCTAATTCTGCAATCACGATTTCGTTCTTAATCTTTTTAGTTCCTGGACATTTCAATTGGCTTTTTCCTATAAACATGATATGTGGAGCTGTAACCTTTCCTTGATTCTTTCTCCAGTAGCACAGTGCACAATCTAGAGTAGGAATACCTTCTGAATCCATTCCTTCTGAATTAGTTTTTGCAAACAAGGATCTTTTCTTGTCTTTTAACATCTGTTTCCCAACACAGTTTTTTACAATATGTCCGAAAGCCGAACAGAAATAACATTTTTTAAGGTTGTTATTTTGTTTATTTTGCCATTTTTTTATTAACCAAGTCTTCAATATAACTTGAATATTTAGGATCTCTGTCGCAGATAGTTGAAGAACTGTGCTGGTACTTACAAAAAATGCACATCTTGATCTTCTGGTTACTTATCGATGTATCTTTAATTGTTGTCGCTGAAGATACTTGCGACGAAGTGTTCTTACTTTTTACCAACCTTTTAGATGCCATTCTGATAAACGCACAATCGATGCAAACAATGTCACCGTAGTAAGAAAACTGATCGTAACTGTAAATAAAATTAGTTCATAGCCCGCTAGTTTCCGCGAAACAATAATGGTCACAAACCTGATTTAATTTACAAACAAGATTTAAAATATTTACGATGTGTAGCTTCGGTAAACACGAAACTTCCTGAATCCACAAAACTTAGTGATACGGTGTGTGGCAGGGCGTAGATGACACACCGTTCTTTCATTGGTCGGCAGCTGACCTGTCGGCGCTTGCTGTGTTAATTATAGGCTCTGCTCGGGTGAAGACGATGTACACTGTTTTCCGCATGTTTATCTTACCTTGGAAGAAAAATTGTTTTCATATGATTGAGGTCCACGTGGTTTTGAATTTCCTTCGGACAAGCACCCCACTTGAAATGAACCAAAACGTAGACTTGAAATTACGCCTACAACTATCTTGAAATGATTCTTGTTTTAACTTGGAATGATTCTTGTTTTGACTTGGAATGAACTTTGGTTTCCACCGACTTTAACGTCTAGGGTTGACAACACAAACGCCACTCAGCTTCATTGTACATTCATCAGTTTATTACACATATCACTCGCGAGAACACAACCATTCATAAAAACTACTGGTCTTCACTGACTTCTGATGATCGACTGATTTCACTCTATATATTTCAAAGCACATCGCATTTATCGACAATATAAACATACCTGAGTAATTCGACAGTATGCACTAAGAGCAGAGACCATGGCATTGTCTGGCTCATTGCTGTTATTCACTTTTGATAATATCATAGCTCTTTATCAAGATAGTCAGTGCACAGAAAGAGTAACAGAAGGAATGATAGACTCGTTTCTCATCTCATCAGGTATCAGACAGGGAATGTGTACTCTCACCATTGCTATTCATCACTTACATGGATAGAATAACACAGAAGGCAAATACAGACACTGAAGAGATCAATGAACTTCTTTTTGCTGATAATTGGTGTCTAATACACCACCAAGAACAGAATTTACAACACCATACTTATTTTTTACATCATATGAGAATAAACAATGTGAAACCTGGGGTAATAAAAATAGGCAGGAAACAATAACATGAATGTTCATGTTAACAGTACTACAATCAAACAAGCGCAAGAATTCAAATATCTAGGAAGTATATGTGTGTGTGTGTGTGTGTGTGTGTGTGTGTGTGTGTGTGTGTGTGTGTGTGTGTGTGTGTGTGTGTGTGTGTGTGTGTGTGTGTTGTCCATCAAGATGAGGATGTCAATTTTTTTCATCAAGTATGAGTACGAAGATGACTGATGAGGCCGATGCGGGCCCGAAAAGTTCTTGGACAGTGAGGACAGGGAATAAGCGTTGTGCCAGTGAGGGGATCTCCTGCAGTCGCCTTTCTGTCCATCCTTTTCTTAATCAGTCTTGCTGTTCTGTTTACTTTACATATAGCGGCGCAGATATATAGAGGATGGCAAACTCAATAGAGAGATAATAAACAGATTACAGAAGGCAAATGCAAGAGACAGAACATTTTCAGGAAGGAAAAAAGCCATACAGACGCAATATTTTCTTTAAGGCAGATATGCGACCAGTCTACTGGATACGATAAAAGTCAACATCTTATACTTATAGATCACGAGAAGGCATTCGTCGAGTCAATAGATGCAAACTATGGAAAATTCTAGAAGATTATGGTATAATACACCAGTTAGCCCCACTGCTTTGATACCCAAATGTCCAGAAAAAACAGCAAATGATTTAAAGCATCTTCATCCCTACGTTATACTATCAGTGCCAAAGACAGACCATAAATAGGGCACTAGAACAGAAAATTACATGTGAAATGCTTTGTCTTGGCGGGGTCACTAACAACATACGAAGGGACAGGATTGTGAGTACAAGCATTAGAGAGAAAGTTGGAATAAGACCATGTGTGGAATATATTGACAGACACAAAATGAAATGGTTCAGCCATCTAGTGAGAACGCAGCCAGATCAATCTGCATATGAGACTTTTTAAAAGTGCATATGCAACACTCAGGTTCTGAAACAGGACTGCAGTCCAGAAGTGGATGAACAACCAGAACTTTACACCAGAGTTTACAGATGGTGAATGTGAAGAAGAACAGCAGCAGAACATCTGGGAGAAAGGCGGGGGAAGATCAAAAAGACATGAATAAATGGTGTAGCTGAAACCTGCAAACAGATAAACAAACAAACGCATCATGAAAGCCACCAGAGAAGCGCAAGACAAATACAGAAAAACACGTCACTCGACTACAACCTGGTATCAGCGAGAGGACAAAACCACGACACTAGATTACAACCTGGCATCAGTGAGACGACAAAAAAGAAAAAAAAAAAAACGGCAGGGAGGAGCGGCTGGCCAAATGGTTAGGAATGATGCTTTTTCATGTGCAAGACCAGGATCTGAATCCTAAGTGGGTTTTGAGAATGTTTCTGTTGGTGTCCAGGTAGCAAAACATCACTTGACCTTGAGTCGCGCCCATTTATCTTTTATACTGAGACTAAACTTTCCACAACAAGGAACGCCACATCTAAAACTGTCATGGTGGAAAGGGTGACCATTTTCAGCACTTATTATGATGTCACCTGACTTCAAGTGAATGGCAGTAAGTCCACTCCAAATTTCATTACCATATCTTTATTAGTGTCCGAGTTACGAATAAAATGCTTGATTCCATACCTGGGTGAAACACCCGATATAACAAAGAATCATCAGAATAAGAACACAAGACACAAAGGCAAACAAACACAAATCCTACCAAGTGCATGCTTGTAAGTTCCAGATATAATTCTGGCATTTCCATTCAACATTCCAAGAACTAAACTGTTGGGGTTCTGAAAGGGGAAAGAAATTTAAACAATGTACTTCTCTAGTCGTCATAATAATCATCATCATCAATAACTAACACAGATCAACCCTTGATGTCGACATAACCAATTAAAAAAAAAAGGTACGGAAAAACACAATTAAAAAAGAAATGACAGAGATCATGGTGATAATTAGAGACACACAGGTAAAGTGGTTAAAAAAAAAGTAAAGGACCCTTTTCCAGGCCTTCAGGTGTATAGGGCAAGACCTACATTTATAGACCAATCGGCACAAGATGGGTGATGTGGTTAACATACCGCCGGCCGCCCTCACTTCCTGGAACTGAACCGGGTACCCACTCAAGGCTAAGTCGACCTGGGAGCCAAGGTCGTTTTTGAAGAGAAACATAGGAAACCTCACTATTTGACGTTTCAACGCAGTGTTGTCATAAACGCTAATTTTCAAGTCCTCCTAGACTGTCCTAAAAACAACATAAGGCAAATTTCTGGGCAAGAAAAACACAAATGCAAGCCAAACTTTACTGGTGAATTACAATGCAATTCCAAATAGGTCATATCCACTTTTTTTTTAATTGTTACTGGGCAAATAATTTATGATGGTTGAAGGACTTTATGAGCCGACTAAAAAAAAATTGCCGTAGTTTCTCTTTTTGGTCCATTATACTTTCAGAGTTTTCTTGTAACATTAAAGAGTAAAAAGTAAAGTAAAGATCCCTTTTCACGCCTTTAGACGCACTGGACTTATGAGAAGAGCACCCATATTTTTTCAGACCAATCGGCACTAGGTGGGTAATGTGGTCAGCATTAGGCTGGTCGCCTTTACTTCCACAGGACAGCCATTGTGGTACCTGTTTCACGCTGGGTCGACCTGCCACGCCCTATACCATGGTTTAAATCCACGCAGCCAGCAGTGGGTTTCGATCGCGGTACGCTGGAATTAGGAGTCGGATTCGCAAAGCCTAAGCCACGGCGCAGCTTTTGTAACATTAACATTCAAAAACTGAAGGTGATAATATGTCTTACGACATTTATAATGCCCCTCAGTCCATGAACATTCAAAACTGTAAACAGACACCACTACTTCCTTAGCGTAAAAAATATAACGATTATTCACTTTGCAAAATGGCAATCTTCCTAGCTGAAACACTGCGCTCAAACTGATCAACAATAAATTTAACTAATTTTCTTCTAGAAAGAATAGTGACTTAAGAGCAGTCTTCCACTATAATGCAGATCGTTATCTTCTTATTTATTATGATTTTTTTTAAACAAAGGACTTAGTCATAAAATTTGTGTCCTCGCCTCCAGGGAAGACATACACACAGTAGATTCACAAACAATCTCTCAAATGATAATTTTTTTCCCTCTGTAACATTGTCTAGAATGATAATACTGTCAGCAAAATGTTCAGTTGTAATGCTATATAGTGCTTTTAGAATTGTCCAGGTTTATTTGCAAGCATCAGTCGCACCCACACTGGACTAAATGGTTATTTTGTGACCAGTCTGTGGAGCTTCTCCAATATAACTGCACTAGCTTTTTGGCTCAACAGGGTTTCTGAGATCTGTGCCTGTTTGATTCTCATCCTTTGGATGTTAATCTTACAGAATGTAATCCTGGAGGGCAAACATTTGGGGAGAATAAAGAGAGAGAGAGAGAAAAAAAATAATGATGCACTTGTGCAGAAGTCAACAAAATAAACATACGAGTTTCAAAGCATGAAACAAGGAGCTTGACCAGTCTGTCATGGAATAACTTAATCACAAGAACACACTGAAGGAATATGGGAAAGTGTTAGTCAACTGATTATCCTCACTGTACAACCAGCCATTCAGTCCATAAGTGCTTGGATCATCTCTTTAGAAAATCCCTCAGTATGTAGCGGCTCACGACAACAGTTTTGTGATGACTTGTTATTCTTCTTTGCCTTCCTGCATAGCACTCTTGTCCGCCGGCCACACACCACTTAACATCTGTTCTTGTAGTCTGGTCATGGTTGCAGATTCACAATTTTCGAGCATTCAGAATACCAGCATGGTCCATGGCTGGTCTGCTCTCCACAGCTGCTTCACATGTAAGCCGTTCAGCTTGCTCATTTCCTTGCCCTGGCACAAATATGATACTTATGTGTCAAACTCGACCGCTCTAGAGACTCCAACAACTGTCTTTGGACCCAGCCTTTTTCTATCTTTCTGAGCATACACACTGAGAAAGCATGCATGGGAAAAGGTCTGTGCCTCCAGCCACGTTAATGCTTTGATGACTGCCAAGACCTCCATAGTCAGACTACTTGTGGTATGGGACGGAGTTAGAAACAAAGAGTCAGTGCAGCTCCACATCTGCTATACATCGTCATAGCCAATAATAATGGGATCACCAACATCTACTTACCTTCATCAAAGCTCTGACAGCGAAACGCAAATCGGTTGTTTCTCGGAGTCGGGTAAAAATGTAGCCATAAAGGTTCCATGCTTGGTTGTTTTCTTTCTCCTGAGGAGAAAAAACAGGAACAAGCGTAAACTTAAGGACATTACATATTTAAACTCCGAAAAGAAATTTCACTTTTTATCTTGTTTAAACCTTCTTCTTCTTCTTCACCAGCTATGAACTCAACAAATAAGTCCTAGTTATTCATCAACTTCAGCACTACGGTCTTGTTCCAAAACTTGAACTTTGGGTGCACATCCATTTTACAGATGTGACTTATTTCAGATTTTTTTAATTTTTTTTTGATTGTGTTTATTTGTTACTCTTTATATCTCTTTACATACTTTAAAAAAAATTATCAAAGCAAAAAATATGGTTATTTTTGCATTTTAAAGGATTTTTCTGGGAAATCACATGACCCAATTTTTGTAGTATTTGCAGGGTGAAAGAGTTAAAGGGTAAATCAAGACACACTAGCACTCACCTGCAGTATGAGATTTCTTGCCAGGTAGTATGTGTTCATGCTGACTGGACCAATCTTCAAACACATGAATTCTGCATCCTGAGATACAATGTTAAGGGCGAAGTTTAAGGCTAAAAAACAGCAGCAGCAAAGACATATTATTTTAATTAAATGATTGTAGATTGCTGTCGTTTTGATTTAGGCCCCCTTGTTGACCCAGCTCAAAAATCGTACCAGGAAAGTTAAAAGTTAAAGTAAAGAGACTTTATTTCATAGCAGTGGGTGTTTATCACATCTAGTTTGGTCTCTCTTCACAGAATATCAAGAAACATGCCAAGAGCATCACACAAAGCACAAACTCAGTAGCTCAAGTGATGATCCCCAGGGATGTCATAATGCCAGCTAAAATGAGTCATCATCAATCAGCTTGTCTCTTCACGGAATACCTAAAAGTATCTCTTTCTCTAGGTAATTCTCCAGTCCTGTGTGCTTTCAAAGCCAAGCAATCTTCAATATTCTGCATCCACCTTCGCCGATGTCGGCCTCTGGCTTGTTTTCTAGGAGAGGATGCTGTTTACAAGCCAGTTCTCCTTGATGTACAAGTCATGCAGGATGTTGATGTTTTACCTTCTTGGTCCACAGTGTTCTAAGAACCTTTTTGTAGCATTTCAGTTGAAAAGCTCTAATTTTTTTCTTCAAAGACTGAGTGACAGTCCATGACTCACATACGTAAGTTGCCATAGGAAAGATGCATGATCTCAAAGTTTTGTCTTTAACTTTCTTGCAGGTGCTAAGCCATAGGTTCTTCATGCTGTTTAGCTTCTACATTGCTAAAGCAAGTCTTTTTCTGACTTCTTTAACATAATAAGTATAATGAGCTCGTCGAAGGCGCTTCGCAATGCCTGGGTGCGGGGGTCGATCCGAGCCGGGGGCGATTTATCTTGTGTTGGGTTTGACAGTGGCACAGAGAGCTGACTGTTCATAAACCTAAGGCAAACTACTAAATGTAAACTCTGCCTAGAAAAAATCAAAACGGTCTAGAAATTATGGGATTGGTTCTGCAACGTCCTGTGAATGATACACAAATAACTGTATAATCATGAGCTAAAATGACTAGTAAAGACTGTCTTGTCTTGTAAATGAAATACTCTGCTTATATCAAACACCACTGTGGATGGGAAAGAATAGAAGCAGAAGGAATGGTTCCCAGAAAGAGGGGTAGGGGATGACAAGCATGAACATGGGCACAGGATACAAGTGACATTGTGGGTAGAAAAGTGCACGAGGTGGGAGATCTGGTGAGAGACCAAGATTTTTTCAGGCAGGCTGTGATGAGAGCGACGTTCTGCAAAGCAGCTGCTACATGATGATGATGATGATGATGATGATTATGAGAGCTATTCTCAATTGGTTACTATACTGAATTTTGTTTTACTTCAACAGATTTCCTCACGCTAAAACAAAAGCTCCTATAATCTTTATATATTCTTCTTCTTATTATTATTTGCTGTAAACTCTGGCGGACAGTTCTAGTTGTTCGTCCACTTCTAGACTTGGGTACTGTTCCAGAACTTAAGTTTTACATGCATATCCATTTCACAGATCTGGCTCACTTGTATCCAGACTACTAGTCCCTTTGTCTCTCAGGCAGATGAACTCTAACTTTGAAACAAACACCCCTAATGTCAACTTTAATGACATGCTTGTTAGCAGACAGTTAGTTTATTGTCACTGCTTCTCCCACTATGGGATCCCACATGGGAGTCAGATAATGATCAACAGACATCATCATTATCAAGTGCCTTGTCTACTGGTGTAGGCGATCCACAATCTGTGATCCATAACTGCGTGTATCGAATAAGTGTGCTGACACCCCTCAAAGCCATGACAAAAGACTGTCAAGAATCCTCTCAGGATGTCTTTCTCTGTCTTTCTTTCCATAGATCTTTCCAGTGGTCACAACATGTTCCAGTTTCCCTCTTCTCATAACACCACAAAGAAATGACGTTTCAACAAACACAGCTTACAAATAAGTAGATAAAACAAGCTTCAACAAAAACAAATTATGAAGGAATCCTTTACCGTGACCATCGCCTGATCATGGGAGAAGGAAGGGCAGGTCAGGCCCAGTGTAGCTGTTTCCAGTAGCTCATTTTTCAAGCCCTTTTCATACATGGTGAAACAGAGCTGAGAACCAAGATAAAAAATAACTGTTAGAGTAACATAAAATGTAGATGGACAAAATCAGAAATCTGTAAATCACATCATTTGCTTAATTTTGGATATGTAAAAGACAGCGCTTTCCATGTGGTTTACCTCAAACTGAACAGGAAATTGCTACGAATGGCCGAAGCTTTAACAATTAAAAATAAAAAAATCCCTCCTTTGTAAGCAGCTAGAATTTACAGTAAATATGAAGTTACCTTGGTAAGTCACATCATTACAATGAACTTCCGGTGACTTGACAAGCGAAAGAAACTATTCACATTTCAGCTAAATTTACTGGATTTTTGTGCATCATTTCATGTTGATTAACTCTGTAGTATCCCACCTGACGTGATAAAGTGAAATATGCCGGGCAATAAATTGTGCAATGCATTGTTTGTGTCCGCATTATTTAATTCATTACGGTAAAACACTCTCTGAACAAATCTGTGATCCCAAGTCTCTCAAAGAAGTATCCAAGCATGCCTAGACAATAAATGTATAATGTAGGAAGATGGTACTGGACACAAAGAGTGGTAGGACTGTTAAATAGTGCAGTCAATACCCCCACATTATTTCTTCTTTTTCTTCCCCCAATCCCCAATGGAGCATAAGCCTTCAACTAACTCATAGTTGGTTAGCCTCAATAGCTGAAGCTGTTTGCGGTATGCAGTACAGCTAAGGCGTAGCACTTCACAGAAGTTCTCCTTGTGATCCGATTCGGGTTCTTTCAATGGTATTTCATTAAGCGCTAAATATACTTTGCTTTAAAGTTAAATTTCACTGCATAAATTCTACAGTTATAACTTTCTGTAGGAATTACATCTCCAATATATATATATATATATATATATATATATATATATATATATATATATATATATATATATATATATATATATACATTTACATATATATAAAATCTTGTCTTTTCTCTACTCCTGGAATGCCTCACAGGGCCAGGAAAAGAAGAGAACTCTGTAACGGGTCTTTCTGTTCGCTTCGCCTATAATATTTTTCTGTGTGTTCATTATTTCCCAGGTCCATGTATGTGATAAACAGTAGCGGTCATAAAACAGATCTAATGTGTAACTTCTCTGACATTTCTAACTGTACACTGGCTGTTTATAGATAAACTCTTGCAGTTTAATAAGATGTTCTTTTACTCTGTAATCTTGTAGTAAAAGTAAAAGACCCTTTCCACGCCTTTAGGCGTATAGGGCATTTAGGGCTAATTCATTGCTATTAAATTTATTGAAAGCTTTCTCTTGGTCTACTGACTCAGAAAGCATGCTGAGGAAGATCAGGACAGGCATGCTTGATGCAGAGTGGCATGCCTAGCTGCAGAGGACAAGCGAGAGGAGTATTGTGTGGATTTTTTCAACAGGGTACGCCAGTAGGTTGGGAAATGAACAGGCAAACAGACTGGCTGGTTCTGCACAGCTTGCTGGAATACTGATGCATGATAAGGCAGATGTGGTTGGTGCCTTGTCGGAGAGCATGTACAGTTCGGTGGAGCAGATGGATCACCAGTCTGGTGAGATAGATGTAGTGGGGAGTGACGAGAGGTTCTGGCAGATGCTCGAGGCTCAGAGGAAAGGCAAGACGGACATTTAATCAGAATGCTACTGGCACCATTAGTATCGGAACTCTTCACTGGCTGCTGAAGATGGGGACAGAGCACTTATAGGAATGCCCCGAGTGCTGTGATGTCGGTTCTTGAATCAAATCAAATAAATCTTGGTCTACAAATGCGGAGTGTTTTTCTTTGCCGAATTTGACCATTCTATCCACCAACTGTCTAAGTGTGAATTTCGCACCAATACTGCTTCTTCCGAAATCCTATTTGTACTTCATGTTGCTGTGATTTGATGATAGGGGATTACCTCTTTTCAAGGATCTTACTAAATATTTTCCCTGGTGTGGCCCTCTATCTCATTCTTTTTTCTGACAGACATCTAAAGATCAAGACCTTTATTAGGCAGACTTCTTTGTCCTTCTTCTTCTTCTTCTCTTCCACCTTGTACCTCAGAGAAGTGTCGGGGAGAGCTGCAACATTCGTCGATGAGCTCTGTCAAGAGCACTATTAAGACTGATGTTCATTTCTGTAAGGCTTTTCTTAATGCCATCACTCCATATTTTCCTAAGTCTTCCACTCGATCTACACCCGTTGTAAGATTTAAGTGTGGCTCGTTGTGGCAGATAGTACCAGGGCATTTTTGTTAGGTGTCCAAACCACTTCATTTGATGTTTTTTGATTTGTAAGATTTCTCTGTCCTACCTTGACATAAACATCCCAAAGATCAGCTCTGATCTTCTTCTCTTCGCCTTGCTTGAATTCTGGATTGTCAGCAATGGCTTCTTTTTCTGAGGACAAAACATCGGTGTGTTTTATGAATCTTTTTACAGTAAAGCCACGTTAACGCAAATTAGCTTAAGATGAACATGAGGTTAACAAAATTCAATTCTGTCCGGGATGTATAATTCATAATATATCTATCAGTTCCCAGGTAGGAATGATTTTTAACACGAACTCTTGATTTTCTTAAGCTGGTTCAAAGCTGACATATCCAACTGTCCGCAGTTGGTTGCTAAGAAGAATTATGTGAAGGTGGGGCATATAAACATGTATATAACTCGAAAATAATAACATTTACGTTTTGAATAACATCAGATTAGTAAAGTAACCCATGCTGTTTCTAAATAGGCAGTTTACAAAAAAATTACAATAAAAAATTCTCATCAGTTTTGAAGGGATCTTATACCTTAACTAGATCTCTCGTGACAGAAAAAGATTTTCATCAGTTTTTGAGGGATCTTATAACTTAACTAGGTCTCTCGTGACCGAAAAAGATTTTCATCAGTTTTGGAGAGATCTTATGCCTAAACTAAATCTCTCGTGACAAAAAGATTTTCATCACTTTTGGAGGGATCTTATACCTCAACTAGATATCTCGTGACAGAAAAAAACACATTTTAGTCTCTAGAACAGTGGTCTTCAACTATTTCCAGGTCACATTCAATTCCCCCCTACCCCTTTTTCCGTTTAAGTATATGGCAAGGACCCCCCCCCCCCCCCACACACACACACACCAGGTATAGGACAAGACCCCCCCCCCCCCCCACTTCCCTTGAGAGTACTGCTTTCACTACATCTTCTGTAACCTGTCCATATTCTCCATTGACTAACTATTGCAGACAAAACCAGTCTTCCAGCTCTTTCATTTTCTTTCACCCCAGCATATCCTGGTGCGTACAGCCAAGATAAGTTTCTTAAGGTGGGAATTCTGGGTACCGTCGGCTCATTCTAGTTAGAGTTTGCTAGTGTGGATTGTCTTATGCATGCGAACTGAGTCTCTCACTGAACACAGGTGAGTTGACTTCTGTTCTGCCAGCTATGCAAGTGTGGATTGTCTTATGCATGCGAACTGAGTCTCTCACTGAACACAGGTGAGTTGACTTCTGTTCTGCCAGCTATGCAAGTGTGGATTGTCTTATGCATGCAAACTGAGTCTCTCACTGAACACAGGTGAGTTGACTTCTGTTCTGCCAGCTATGCAAGTGTGGATTGTCTTATGCATGCAAACTGAGTCTCTCACTGAACACAGGTGAGTTGACTTCTGTTCTGCCAGCTATGCAAGTGTGGATTGTCTTATGCATGCCAACTGAGTCTCTCACTGAACACAGGTGAGTTGACTTCTGTTCTGCCAGCTATGCAAGTGTGGATTGTCTTATGCATGCAAACTGAGTCTCTCACTGAACACAGGTGAGTTGACTTCTGTTCTGCCAGCTATGCAAGTGTAAACATGTGAATATACATTCATATACACTACAGAGATGGCCATTATGTGAAAAAAAGTATGATAAACATGCCAGCAGGTGATTATTGTTGAACACCAAAATGGAAAAGTAAAAATACTCAACACATAATTGTAACAGCTGTTCATTACTAACACACAGCAAAATAGGGATCACAAAATAAAATGTCCAACTTATAGCTGTAACAGTAACAGCAAAAAAAAAAAAAAAAAAAAAACTTACATGCGTCCATTTTTTGAAGTACATCAAGAAAAAGAGAAAGAAATACCCACCTTATAATTTTTAACAACTGCAATTTTGCAGCCCAACAAAAAACAATGACGTTAAATATCCAACTTCAAACTTTAACAACTGTAAATGTATGCAGTCTAACAAAAATTATGAAATGAAACATCCACCGTATAAAACTATAAAAACTAATTATCAATGTGTGCAGCTGAACCCAAATGAAAAAATAAAATGAAATATCCAACTTCTAAATCTTTAAGGGGTCACTACGCTGCATTTTTTCTCCTCCAATTTTTGACAAAAATATCACTTTTTCAATATGTTCATTTTTGTAATGTTCGGCATTCGTAGAATAGATTACACACAAAATTTGTGTCATTTGTAAACAATTTAGCATTGAAAAGTTTATACTAAAGACACCAACCCATGCACTTTTTTAAGATTAAAAAAAAGTTTAAAAGTCACTTTTCTAACAATTCTATTTTTCTGTTTGTTGTGTGTGGGATCTCCTAAAATCTCAGCTAATATAAAGACTAGAGACGTGACATTTGGTGGATACTCCTAACACAATATTTTAAGGTCAGGTCTATTAGAAATTACAGTTTATTAAGTAATTTTTTTTTAATTTATTTGATTATTATCTTAAAAAGCGAAATTTTTGTATTTTTTCAACATACCTAAATTTTAATATTCTAAAATAAAATAGGCTCTACTTGGCATAACGGTTCTAAATGAACTACGCAGAAAGTTAACCCAAACAGAGCCTCGCAACGCAGACAGTTAACCCACACAGAGGCTCACTCATATGTAAAATGCGCATTTGTTTTGCGGCGATTCAGCCGTGTCAAAAGTAGGATTAACTGTGGACGACATTATCGCAAAACACAACGGATTTTTTCATGCCGGCAAAACTAGGATAAACTGAGGACGAAAAAAATTACCAACACTCGAGAATACTCCCGATAGCGCTATCGTACGGCACGGCCCGAGTTATATGTAAGCGACTATAGTGCCACCTCCGAGAGTATCCCCCGCGCCGCTACGTGCGGCGCAGAAGGGGCTAAACTAGATGGCTAGGACTCACGAGCAGCAGCTACTGCAGCTTCCTCCAATGTATTTGCTCGTGAGTCCTAGCCATCTAGTTTAGTCCCTTCCGCGACGCGCGTAGCGACGCGGGGGATACTCTCAGAGGTGGCACTGTAGTCGCCAGAAAAAAGTCAACAATTTACAGGAGCTACTGCGTCTGTCGGAACAACCAGCGCCATCGCGGCGGCTGCTGGTTTGACGTTGTCCATGGCGACATATGCGTACATTAAACTGCGCATTAGAGCTGATCACGTCTTGCTGGAAACGAGAATCGCGGACAGGCCGTGCTGAGTTGCGATAGCGGAATTTTCGTGCACTATTTGCAACTAGTGTGCCATAATTGCAAGATATAAAGGATTTAATTTTCGGTAAGTAGTAGACTTTGCCCTTTTCCTGATACTCTCCGTTCCTTATATTTCCCGAGTTACAGCTTTAAATGTTTGTAGGGCAGGACGTAATGAGGCTCTGTTTGGGGTTAACTTTCTGTGTAGTTCATTTAGAACTGTTATTCCAAGTAGAGCCACAAAATATTTATAAACATCTTTAAAGTTATTAAACTAGACCTGACCCTAAACATAGGTTTAAAGTTCATGAATCGATCATCTGTTTCTTGGTACCTCTGTTTGTTTTTTAAATTTTAGCTGTCTAAGTACATGTTGTTTTTTCATCAAAATGGCGGCTGTTGCCATAACCATGTTTTTTTTTTACACCTGGTCTACAAATGTATCAGCATACATCCCTACAAATGACCATTATAAAATAATTGGTTTAACATTGTCGGTAAAAAAAAAAAAATTTCCTGTAGTGACCCCGACCGTCTATGCATGCAGGCTAAACAAAAACAATAAAACAAATATCTAAAGATACCAAGTATAAATCTTTAATTAATGCTATCTTTCTACAAAATATTTACTTTAAAAAGGTTTACCTTGAAGTGACTTCATGTTGTTGATAAAGTGAGGAAGTAGGTTTCTCCTGCACTTGGGGGTCCTAATAGCTAACAGGACTGAAACAATAACACGTTATAATAAGCTTTTACTATCATACAGACATGTTATAATAAGCTTTTATTATCACAGGGACATGTTATAATAATCTTTTACTATCATACAGACATCTATATTAATAAAAATGTTAATTTTCCGATGATGTAAGCTAAAAACTCAGAAACTACTGAACCAATTGCTTTCAAATTTGCACACAACGTTGCCTTTGACTCCAAACGTGACTTTTTTTCAGAAAATTGCACAAACCACAGTCGAAGTAGCTCCAGCAATGGTCAAATCATTATTTGTTTTGTTGCCAGCCCGGATTTGTTTTTAGTTGATCGGCCATATTTGACTGCTGAGCTCTTATTGAACTTTGCATTATTATATAATTTCTTTTCCACTATTTGCTTGAGTGTTCGGTAGCGTAGTTAGTAGCTATTCTGCCTATCATGCAGGTGACCCAGGTTCGATTCCCTGCTAGGTGATATAATTTTTTGTTTGCCTTTTACTGGGCGGCTGGCACATTGTGTTGTGGTTTATGGCTAGGCTGCGATATCTACGCCTTTTTCGGCTTTGGGGTTTTCAGATAGCCTGCATCAGCGGCGACGTGATGCTCAATAGTCATGTCACAGGTAATCTTTGTTCACCCCCAAGAGGGCCGTTGGCACGTTGTGTTGTTTACAGCTAGGCTGCGATATCTGACCTAAACGCTTCAGTCGTCAGTAGTATAGTTGTAAGTAAGTCATCCTTCACGCGGGTGAGCGGTGTTCGATTTCCCGCTGAGTGATAATTGTTCTTTTTACCTTAAAAGGGTGGTTGCCACGTTGTGTTGTGGTTTACAGCTAGGCTGCGATATCTGCGCCTTTTGCTCAACGACATCTGATGTCAGTTAAGTCCTAATTAGCCTTCCCGCGGCGCTTCTCAATCAAAAACTATTCGGTGATGACAGAAACTGTTAACTAAGACGGCTTACAGTCCAGTTTAGTTTGGGTGGACACAGAAGCCAAGGTCAGTTCAAAATCGTTCCCTTAGAGAGGAAGAGATGACCGGTGCTGTGTATTTTTCTCCGCTATTCGTGAGTATAGTGTACTTTTCGGAGAGGGAGATATGACCTGGGGGGGGGGGGGGGGGGGGGGTATGCCGGACACAGTTAGCTGAGAGAGCTTAAAATATTATTTTGAAGTTCTCATTTATAACTATTTCTATTTTAATTATTTGGCCATGGATGATTTTTCAATCCTTCGGAGAGGGGGATATGATTGGGGGAACTGTAAGGGGGGGGGGGGGGGGTGGGTGCCAGACACAGTTAGCTGAGAGAGCTTAATATATTATTTTATTATTATCATTTCTCAACTATTTCTATTTTAATAATTTCGCCCGGTTATGATTTTTCAATCCTACAGAGAGGGAGATATGATTGGTGGAAAGGGGGGGGGGGGGGGGGGGGAGGGGTGCCAGACAGTTAGCTGAGAGCTTACAATATTAATTTAATGTTCTCATTTCTAAACTACTTCTATTTTAAAAATTTCTCCATGGATGATTTTTCAATCCTTCGGAAAGGGAGATATGACTGGGTCGAGGGGAGAGGAGGGGAGAAGGGGGGGGGGGGGGGGATATGACAGACACTTAGCTGAGAGATTTTTTCTTTCCTCTCCATTTCACTATTCTGGCAGGGTACAGCTAGTGTGTTATAAAAGTCGATGGTGTTATTTTAGGACAAGTACAGAAATTTAAGTATCTGGGCACATGGATAACATCAGACAAGATGCATAACTAAAATAAGAAACAGAATTAGACAGGCAAAAACTGCATTTTATAAAATGAAAAACATCTTGTGCAATATTTCATTGTCATTGAGTTAGAAAAAGAATTCTTGCTTGCAACATACATCCAGTTTTAACATATGGCTGTGAATCCTGGACAATCGGTAGGCAGGTCAAACAACTTCTAGAGGACTCCGAGATGTGGTTTTATAGAAGAATGCTTAGAATACCTTGGAAAGCCAAAAAATTGGTTTTGAAAGAGGCGGGAGCCCAAAGACAATTTATCACAGACATCAGAAGGAGACAGTCATCATTTTTCAGCCATGTTATGAGAAGAGGGAAAAAAGAACATGTTGTGACCACTGGAAAGATTGTGGAAGGAAAGTTAGAGAAATACAAGAAGAGAAGATGCTTTACAGTCTTGTTGCATGGCATGGAGGTGTGTCGGCACACGTACTGATAAGTGCTGCAGGAGATCACAGATTATGGAGAGGCATGATCGCTCACGCCAGTCGGCAAGGCACCTGATGATGACCCCTCACCTGTGTCCTCCGCAGAGAGGCATGCCACTCTGCACAAAGCTTGCCTGTCCTGCCTCAGCATGTTTTCTGAGTCAGTTACAATCACAGTGTGTGTCATGTTTTCTAGCAAGCGGAAAGCTGCAGTGACCGCCGCCACCTAAGCTGGATTTTGTGGTGTCTGACTATGTATATAAATATACAATTTTATTGTGTTCTACTCCAGATTTGGGTTGTTTTCTTTTGTTTACCCAATCATGGGGTGAAAGTCCAGCAGTAAAGGGGTGTTGAGGTTTGAAATCAACAGCAACTTACACTGAACCTCTTCTTATATATAATATTTTAATTTAAATAAAGAAAGGGGGGAAAACAAGAAAGAAGAAAAAGGGGAAAAAAGAAAAAAGAAGAGGAAAAAGAGAGAGAGAAAGTGATAAAAAATGAGGAAGGACGGAAGAAGTTAAGGGTGAAAGAATAGGAAGACATAGGTGTGCCAGATCGACTGAAACTAAAATAGGTATAGGAAAATGGCACGAAAAGTATAGGTGGTCGGTGTGGCTACTAAATAAAGAAGGGCAGCGGTACACAGTGGCAAAGAATATGGCGTCTACGTTTTATTTACAGATAGAGAGCACAAAAACCAGGAAAATAATGTCTCTAGGAGGTCCGCTGTTAGGCTTAACGCGGCGTTTACAGACAAAGAGCACAAGCAACAGGAAAAGAATGTCTCTAGGAGGTCCGCAGTTAGGCTTAACGCGGCGTTTACAGACAAAGAGCACAAGCAACAGGAAAAGAATGTCTCTAGGAGGTCCGCAGTTGGGCTTAGTATCAGTGACTGATGGCAAACTCCTCGAAGGCCTTCAAAGTTGTTGACTTCCAGCGCATAGAATGTCCAAAGTGATCTTTCACGACGGAACGATTTATCTTTATTTAGCAAGTAGAAAGCTTCTAGTACTACCTGGTACAGAAGGGCAAAACAGCACAGCAGTTGAAAGTAAAAATTCAATTCCGATGAAGATCGACGCTTCAACGCAGACCGAATCACAGCTAACCTGCGAAGAAGCCGGCGATCATAATCAAGATTCAAAGGAAGCTCAAATCGGCTTTGCTGAACCTGCAGCCCTGCAGGTTCCATCGTCTGATTTAAATGAAGCGGGCGACACTTTGCCCGTGGATAAGCTTCCGGTCGTAGATGACGGCCAAACTTCCGACTCTCTTGGCGAAGAGGTTTTAAAAGCGTGTCTATTAAGACGCAATTCGAACAACGAGCTCGTCTCGTCAGTTCACCTCTTAACGCGGCCGGAGACGTTGGATATTCCAAAAGGCCTACCGTCTAGACACGTAGCAAGTACTCTGGCCATTCTTAACCAGTTAGGAGATCATAACTTCTACACTCCGATTGAAGAATGGTCAAGTTCAAGCAGTGAGAGATCTTCTCCTGAAATAAAAAAAAGCCGAACATGTTTCGGCTGGCTATCTAGACTGACTGACTTTCTACCCCACCAGGACATCACACAAGCGATAAACACCCGATGACACAAAGTGCCACCATATGGATGAGGATCGCCGTGGAGAGGTCCCAGAAACCGCGTTCAGACATTTGGCCATATTTATGGCCTGCCTATATTGCGGCCCCTGGCAAAAGCCAGGGTAGGGCTTCAAATAACAAAAACTTTCGTCCTAAAAAGGACGAAACTGAATAACAACTACAATTTAGGCTATCTAGACGAAAGGAGCCAGCAATAAACTGCTTCAGGAAGTTTTTCTGTTTCTGCCCGTAATGCCAATAGGTATTTCTTTCTACCAACGGTCCTTTTAAGGGCCACAAAATTTTCCTTTTATTAAGGTTTTGGTTATATAACAAAAATACACCTAATGAAATTGGGTAAAAGAAAATATAGATGCGTGAAAGAAAGAGTGATATGAAAAGAGAGAGAAAGAAAAAATAGTGTCAAAACGAGGGGGGTGTGTTGGTGACCACACCAAAGTACAAGTAGGTCAATGAGGTTATGGTGGGCGGTGTGTTGGGGGCCACAGGAAATCTTTGAGTCCCCGAAATGGGATAACCAAAAAGAAAAATTACGCTGATTTGCATCCTGTAGGAATAAAATCTCAAGGATGAGAATCAAACAGGTAAGCAAATCAGCAGCCCCTCCCCACTACAAAGTCACCAATGGTGCTGCTTCATCACAGCAGCTCCTTCCCAACACGATGTAACGAGAGGGGTTGTTTCAGACTAGAAGCCCCTTCCCACCACGAGGCTCCGAGTGGTTGCTTCAGATCAGAACAGCAGTCCCTCCACGATGTCTCTATTGGGGTAGGGGGGGGGGGTGTGCTTCAAAACAGCACTCCCTCCACGATGACTCTATTGGGGGGGGGGGGGGTGCTTCAAAACAGCAGTCCCTCCACGATGTCTCTATGGGGGGGGGGGGGGGGGGGGGGGGCTTCAGAACAGCAGTCCCTCCACGATGTCTCTATGGGGGGGGGGGGGGGGCTTCAGAACAGCAGTCCCTCCACGATGTCTCTATGGGGGGGGGGGGGTGTGTGCTTCAGAACAGCAGTCCCTCCACGATGTCTCTATGGGGGGGGGGGGGGGGGCCTTCAGAACAGCAGTCCCTCCACGATGTCTCTATTGGGGAGGGGGGATGCTTCAGAACAGCAGTCCCTCCACGATGTCTCTATTGGGGGGGGGGGGGGGATGCTTCAGAACAGCAGTCCCTCCATGATGTCTTGATTGGG